GGGCCTGTACCCGCGAAGCCGCTGGGGCAAAGCAGTAGGAGACGGCGGGGGGGGACGAAGAGCAGGACGCATAGAGACCAGGCCAGAACATTCGACCGACTGTCCTAACAACTGGTGGAGGTATTTTTTTTACAGCCGCAGGCGGAAGCGCCAGCGGCGGGAGGTCAAAACTGGTGGAGGTACGCGAAGCGTCAAGAATACCCGACCAGCGCAGACCCCGACGGGCCTCCCCTCCGCGCAGGTCCGCCCGCCCGACCCGCCCGCTGGGGGGGGGGGGGGGGCGACCGCTCCCCCTGCCCGACGAGGAACCCGCCCGAGCGAAACCGCTTGCGCAGGTGGAAGCCTCATCCTCCTCCTCCTCCTCCTCCTCCTCCTCCTCCTCCTCCTCCCCCCCTCCTCCTACTCCTCTTCCTCCTCCTGTTCCTCCTCCCCCTCCTCCTCCTCCTCATCCTCCTCCTTCTCTTGATCCGAGGTCCCCTGCCCCGTGGTCAGGTACATAGACGGGGTCGGAGGATCGCGCCGCATCGACGATGCGTCAGCGATGCATGGCCGATGCAGTGGCGATGCACTGGCAACGCCGGCGATGCATGGGCACCATCGGCGTGAAGAAAATCGTGCTCGACATCGAGCCGCATCGGCGATGCATCGGCGATGCGGCGCGATCCTCCGACCCGATCTACTCCGAGCCCATCTGGGAGGCCTAGAGCAGGGCCTGAGTGGCCCAACTGTAGACACGATAAGCATAATAGTGCAGGAAGAGCAGTTCCTAGACATAGTCGCGTGGTGAAAGATCAGGACGGGACGTTTGTTCCTCGTCTTCGGCCCCTGGGGGCCCCTTACTGGGCCTCGAAACCGTCAACACACAAAACTCTGGATGAAAAAGCAGCCCTGGGACCCCGTACTGGAAAAATAAAGACATCGTACGTCTGGGCTGCATAGGAGGCTGTGGTGTGGCTCGTCGAAGGCCCCAGGGGCCTGGGTTCCTGATTCCCCTCGCTTTGAAAGAGCCTCGGTTACAACGGTACTGGAAGTAGCGAACCATGTGTCACGCAACATTTCCAGTAGTTGAAAATATGTCCGTTCGTTTCGTGCTGATCAAGGGAACGATCCAGTGCACGATGGCAGACAAGTGAGGCCACAGGCATGCCTCCAGGTCAACTGACGTGGGTGGTCCAACCAATGCTCCCCAAACCAAGAAGAGGGCAACAGGTTGGCGGTCCTGATACCGGCATGCACCAAATTTGGCAAAGGCCTGCCAGGCCACAGCTGCCCGAGGTCCATCGGCTCGTTGATCGTCGTTATTGGGAGGCGCCATAGGGTCGGTCAGCTGTGGAATGGTGGCTTCCCAACACGACGATCGAGAGTGATACGCGAACCTCGCGACATAGCTTACTGCGTGTAGCTAATTTTACTACGTGAATGACGACGATTCACATGGAAGGCCCGCAGAGACACGTTTCTGAGTGTCGTAGTCTCGATTGGTTTCCAAAAGCTCGCTCACAATGTTTGGAAGGAGCCAGGCGTTTGAGGTTAGGCCAGCACCATGCGCAGCCTGGTCGTTCTCCCGAAGAAGGGTTTCCAGCAGGAGACTGCTTCAACGACATATAAAGATCCGTGCTGTCTCAAGCTTCGCTGCCTTTTGGTTGGACAGCCGCTCATCGATGTCCTAACCTAACTCGGTCATAGCGGCATAGGAATATCAATCACGGAACGCGTTATCACCAGATGCATGGCAGATTCTGCAGGTCGTGATTTCAAGAGGGTGGACGCGATCTTCGGGCTTACACTGTCAAATTGCGGTTGAATTTAGCTCCCAAGGCTTAGCACGGGAAGTCTGTGCAGAGTTAGGTTGTCCCGAGAAACTGCAGTCATTTGTGTGGCCGACATTGGTGTGCATACTCTGTCCCGTGCACTGGCCCAGGCACCAGTAGCAAGAAGAGGAGTCGCTATAAAGAAATGCGCATGCGACTCCAGCAACTTAAGCGAATGGCCCGAACGGCGACTGGACGCGCCAAGAGGTCTCTTGCGAGCGTTAAAACACAGGAGTTTCGCCTGGTGTGGCTGTGGACAAGATTCGCAGGGGTCAGTCCCGTGTTAATTTCCCACAGCATGGGGGGACGAGCCTGCGTGTCAAGACTGTGCTTGTCGGAAACGAGAGCGCCAGATCGGCGCTAGCAACTGCTTTGCAGTGTTGCCGAATGTCGTGCTTGGCGAGTGACAGCCCCTCGTGACTTGTGTTCGGCCAGATCACGTGGTCAAATGTGGCGTGAAGCTCGCGCTGGTCAGGCCACCACTTGGAACGACATCTCTGGGCCCCTTGCCAGAGAATGTCTCGCAGCCGGTCGTACTGGGTGGGATCCATTTCTCTCGACTGACCACCATAGCTTGGAGGTCGAACTGGCATGCCGCAGGCCGGGCACGCCAGCGAGGCCGGGCTTCAGAGTCAGCAAGACATTGCCTCGCGGATCAGCTCGACCTCCCTGGAGGGCACTGTGTTGACTTCGACTTGATCACAACATGCTATCTGCTCGAAATCCAAGGAAAGGTCAGCACCTTGCCAGCGTTTTCCGGTGAGGTGTTGCGTGCGTGCGCACTGCAGGCCATGTCACGATAGGCCGCTGCACATGCGGGCAGGTAGAGACTGCACACCACCGTGTTTACGGATGCAGTTTGCCCCGAAGTCGAGTCGGCCCGAGGAGGGCCAGTGCACCCTCTGAGATTTGGGATGTCACTCGTGCCAGTGAAGATCTAGTGTTCACTGGGGGTCTCTTCGAATATGGCCCTACTGAGTTTCCCCCACTTGTGTTGCGGATGCCATGGCAGTGGACACCCTAACAGTCCTATCCTTGAACTATAAATGTGTTTAAAATTGCGGAACATGTTCTACAAGTGTTGAGCACATGCTTTGGACATGTTTGAGACATTTTTCAAAGTGCTCCCAAAATACTAAAAAAAATCGAAACATCGTCCCCATGTTGATGAATATTCCTCCTGTAGAGGGACCCGCCCGGCTCAAGGCTGTGTCGCTGCACGGACAAAAGAGATGGAGCATGAGATCGGCTCCAACAACAAGTACGCTGCAGTTCGGCATGTGCCGAATGTTTGCCAGACACGTCTCACATAACGCAGACCCAGCATGTCGAAGTGCATCGCAGTGACGACGCGATCCGGCAGTCGGAGAGGATGAGGACAAGCTTGCGGTGTCGAATCGAGCGACCGACGAAAAGGTCGGGATCCCTCCCGTAGCCCATTCTCCCTCTCAAAGACCGCCCATTTCCTCCGCCCAATCTCTGTGAGACTCGAGCCATGGCAAGTCGCGCCAAGAAGGGGATTCGCAAGGGCACTCCGGCGGGTGTGAGGAGCATGGGATCACTTCTCGGCTGGACCAAAGCTTTCTCTCGCGAGGGTGGCCTCGCGCCAGCAGCCACGTCGTCGATACGTCACAGAGCTGCAGAAGATAGACTACTCGGACGTCGAGCGCACACAGGTTGAGAAGGAGCTGATGAACGAGGGAGGGCACCGTCTGACTACAGCTCTGCATCGCTGGAAGCGCCAGTGGCTCACCTTGCTCGTTCTCCTGAGGACCTGTGCAGAGTCAAGGCTTCTTGCTCGTCTGGCACCGCGCATCCAGTCTTCGAGGACTAGGGCGAAGTCAGTCCAGTCGGAAGATTGCGAGCCCTAGAGGACTAGGTCGCATCATGCCATTCAGCATGCTACGTTGAGCAACTGCAAAACGTGCGGGCTCAGGCTTCAGACGGTGAAGACGCCCCAAAGGAAGATCGAGGCGAAGATCAAGAAGAAGGTCATCAAGAGGAAGGTCGAGCACGACATCTGGCAGGAGAAGGATATCTTCCGTCAGTCCATCCAAGGAGCAAGAGGAGCTGTTGGAGCTGTCAGGTCCTCTACCCTCCGACAAACAAAACTGCCTCCACGAGGCCCCCGAGAGGCCTCCCGCGACATCCCAGGCTTCATACCCGCAACCCAGGCACGGCGGCGGGATGGCCCGGAGGCCATTGGATATCATCACGTCTGGCGGGAAAACCACAGCAAAATGCGCTGGTCCACTGGCCTAATCATTGCATGCGACAAATCCACGCCAAGCTGCCGCCCAGACATCCTCATTTCTGAAACTCACACTGCTAGCCAAACATGCCCCCTCGGTCTACTCAAAGTTGCCAGCGACACGTGCTCGGCCTCTAGTGCGAACTTGCTATCGACATCTCTTCACCCCCAGCCTGAAATGGCCAGCCAAACATTCCCATCACCTAGCGTTGATATCTCACCCAGGTATCCTCAAGCCCGGCCTGAAACTGGGGTGCGCGCAAGGTGCACGTTGGCGCCAATCGTCCACGGGCCCCAAAAGTGAGCGAGAACCCTGCGAGGGTGCTACCACGCCCTCGATGATGAGCAATACGAGTACCCCTACTCCTTTGGGAGTGGGCCTAAGTTCGGAGGGCCAGAAACATGAAAGACTGTTTTTTGTGGAGTGGATGTCCCCGAGGAAACCACCTACATGTTCAAGGATAACCCTAAGAACCAAAGACCCAAGCTGGGCCACGAAATCTTTGGGTGCGCGTGACAGGAACCAAAACCTTGGCTCGGCGGGCAGCCATCCGGAAACAGCGGACTGCTCAACTGCTCCCCCTCTTCCTCTTATTCCTCCTCCTCCTCCTCCTCCTCCTCATCATCATCCTCCTCATCCTCATCCTCATGTTGTCCTCCTCCTCCTCCTCCTCCTCCTCCTCCTCCTCCTCCTCCTCCTCCTCCTCCTCCTCCTCCCTCCTCCTCCTCCTCCTCCTCCTCCTCCCTCCTCCTCCCCTCGCACCTCCTCCCCCGCACCTCCTCCTCCTCCTCCTCCTCCCCCGCACCTCCTCCTCCTCCCTCCTCCTCCTCCTCCTCCTCCTCCTCCTCCTCCTCCTCCTCCTCCTCATCCTCATCCTCATCCTCATCCTCATCCTCATCCTCATCCTCTTCCTCCTTTCTTATCCACGCGCCCGCTCCTGCTCGGTGGAGGCCTCCACCCTCGTCTTGGCCTCGGCCAGCGCCACCTCGAAGTCCACGCGGACGTTCCCCTTCAGGACGATCGGGCGGTACTGGCCGTTCCTGCGCGGGGCACAAGAGCAAACAAAAACTCTAGCAAAGCTAGGTCCTAGAGGAGGAGGAGGAGGAGGAGGAGGAGGAGGAGGAGGAGGAGGAGAAAGAGGCGGAGGAGTAGGAGGAGGAGGAGGACGAGGGGGATAGAGGAGGGGGAGGGGGAGGGGGAGGGAGAAGGGGAAGGGGGAGAGGGGGAGGGGGAGGAGGGTGACGGAGGAGGGGGAGGAGGAGAGGCAAGCTAGGTGCGCTCGCGTCATATCTGACGTTCTACCCCTCCCTCCTAACCCTCACCATGGCGTAGATCTCTTCTCTATTCGTACAATCGGATGTCGTAGCATGGCATAGCATTACATGACATCAACGCGTAGCATGACATAGCATGGCGTGGCGACGCCCCAAAGTGCTTCCGCGGCCCAAAAAATCAACGAATCGGCACCGAATGTGGAATCACTTCCGATGGTTTTTTCCGGGGGGGCATTTTCTAGATTTGGGGGCCTATTTGGAAGGACCGAAGCCCTGCCGTTGCATGGCACTGGAAATAATGACGCCAGCGCTGCAGCGGGGCCACGATTCGGAACGAGCGGAAACGAGGCCAGCGCTGCAGCGGGAGCACGATTCCGAGGACGCGGAGCCTGACATAGCATGGCGTGGCGACGCCCCAAAGTGGGGAGGGCTTCTGCGACTCAAGAAACCAACGAACCGACACCGAATGTGTAATCACTTCCGATGGCTTGGCTCTTTGTCGTTGGGTCATTTTCTAGATTTGGGACCTTTATTGGAAGGACCGATGAGCATGCCGTGGCATGGCGCTGGAAATAATGACGCCAACGCTGCAGCGGGAGCGGAAACGCAGAAATGAGGCCAGCGCTGCAGCGGGAGCACGATTCGGTACGAGCGGTGGCCCGAAAATGAAGCCAGCGCCTCAGCGAGAGCAGCATTTTCAAAAAAAACAAAAAAATGCCCAAGCGAAAACTCGCTTCCCGGGAATCCGGTGTATAAACAACTAGTACGCGGAGGGGGGCCGGCCATTTCCCGGACGTCACCAAAGGAGAAAAGAGAGTAGTATGCACATTGTGTAATTGTGAAGGGGAGTGGGAGGCGGAGGCGGAGGGGGAGGGGGAGGGGAAGGGGGGGGGGGGGGAGGATGGAGGAGGAGGAGGAGGGAGGAGGAGGCGGAGGAGGAGGAGGAGGAGGAGGGGGAGAAGGGAGAGGAGGAGGAGGGGAGGAAGAGGAGAGGAGGAGGAGGAGGAGAGAGGAGGAGGAGGAGGGGAGGAGGGAGGAGGAGAGGAGGAGGAGAGGAGGAGGAGGAGGAGGAGGAGGGAGGAGAGAGGAGGGAGGTGCGGGGGGAGGAGGAGGAGGGAGGAGGAGGAGGAGGAGGAGGAGGGAGGGAGGGGAGGAGGAGGAGGGGTGGAGGGAGGAGGAGGGGGGGGGGAGGGGGAGGGGGAGGAGGAGGGGAAGGAGAAGGAGGTGGAGGAGGGAGGAGGGAGGAGGAGCTGGAGGAAGCGGAGGAGACGGAGGAGGTGGGGGAGGCACCGCCCGCACGGGACCTCCTGTTGCCCCACGCCTCGGCTGTGTCTATTACATCGTTGCTTCGCTCGAGCGTTCGTTCACCCCTCGAGCTGTGCGCAGACTCTACTCGCTGGCTACGATGCTTTTTGTATCACCCAGTGTGCCTCTCTTCGCATTTGCTGCGCTCTCTCGCGTCTTTCTGAGTTGTCCGTCGAAGGCCAGTCTCACCTCTATACCGCACGATCGCTGCAGATCCGATGCTCAAGTCCGCTCAACGCCCGAAAGGCGGAGGCGCAGGGGGAGGGGAAATGGGAGGGGCGAGAGAGCGACAACGTGGAAAACCGGCGCGCCATCTCCAGAAGTTTGCGTTGAGCGTCACACGCGCAGGGCCCCCGTGTCGAATTATGAGCGCGCGCGTTTTCTCATCCCCTCCCGCATCCTCCTCCTCCTCCTCCTCCTCCTCCTCCTCCTCCTCCTCCTCCTCCTCAGCATCACCATCATTTTCCTCCTCCTCCTCCTCCTCCTCCTCTCTTCCTCCTCCTCCTCCTCCGCATCCTCATCTGCATCATCATTATCATCCCTTGATTCCTTCATTGCTCAATTCCCTCCTCCCTTCCTTCCTTTTGTCCTTCTTTCCTCCTGGTCCCCATCCTGCCTCTGCCATCCGTGTGCCCATGTCGGCACACCCCTCACACGTTTCGTGGCCCCATGGGGGAGCTCCACGTATGACCCCAGGAGGCCACGCCACACGCGGTGCCCCCGCCCGTTTCGGCAAGCCCGTTACACGCTTCGAGGCCCCGTAGGGAGCTCCACGTATGGCCTAAGTGGGCAAGGCCACACGCTGTCCCATCGCCCAATTCGGCACACCCCTCACACGCTTCTCTGCCCCATACAGAGCTCCACAAACGGCCCCAATAGGCAAGGCCACATGCGGTACCTCCGCCAATTCCCGCACACTGTTTACACGTTTCCTGAACCCAGAGCTCCACCGAAGGCCCCAGTGGGCAAGGCCACGTGCGGGCCGCCTCGCCCATTTCGGCACACCGCCTGAAACACGTCTCGTGGTTCCGCAGGGGGCTCCACCAAAGGCATCAGCGACAGGGTATCGCACGCGATCCCGCCGTCCATTTCGGCACAACCCTCACGCGTTGCATGGTCCCGCGGAAAGTTTATCCTATTTGGCGGCGCGCTGCCTATGAGGAGAAGGGTAGATCCTGCGCAAGTCGCAACTGCTTAAGATTGGGCCCTTCGCCAGGCTGGCTTGACCGACCCGGCGGCGAAAACAGCCCCCCAGACGCCGAAAACCTATGGCACTTTTCTTTCCAGCCGGCAGAAGTCCGAGGGAAAAGGAGGATGAGGAGGACGAGGAGGCGGAGGAAGGGGAGGAGAAGGAGGAGGAGGAGGAAGAGGCGGAGGAGAAGAAGGAGGAGGAGGAAGGTGAGGGGGAGGGGGAGGAGGAGGAGGAGGAGGAGGAGGAGGAAGAGGAGGAGGAGGAGGAGGACAGGTGTAAATCAAAGACTCATCAACGATGTTGGATTACACCCTCCCCCCTCTTCATAGGCCTGGCCCTACAAGGGTTCATTTCGACTGAGGGTCGGGGTCGTGGGACAACCGCGGGAAAACCGTAAAGCGTGCCACAACATCATTCTCACGACTCCAATGCCACGAGTCAACCTAACTGTTGCGCCTTGACGATCCTGAATCGTGCCAAAACACCCTCACACCCTCAATCCGGAAAATGTTCACAATTGTTTACGACGAATGTACGCGGCACCACGGCGAGAGCCACGTTTTGAAAAGGGCCTGACCTCCATCCGTGAAACTCTTGCGAATGTGTCAAACGAATGTGCGCGGAGCTGAGGTGAGCTGAGGTGGCAACCACATGTTGAAAACGACCTGTCCTCAATCCGCGAAACTCCTGCCATGTCTTAAGACGAATGTGCGCGGCGCTAAGGCGAGAGCAACATTTGGGAAGCGACCCGCGCTCCATCTGTGAAACTGTTGTCAGCTTTGAAGCGTTCAGGCTTATCAAAGGTGAGAGTTTGTCACGCGAAACGCCCGGCCCGACTTTCCGACTGGCCTCGGGGTGCGACAGGGAGGAGTTATTCATGAAGAAAGAATTGGTGGAGGACAAGGAGGCGGACGACGACGACTGCGACGACGACGACTGGAAGAAGGGGGGAGGAGGGGGGGAGGAGGGGAGGGGAGGAGGAGGAAGAGGAGGAGGAGGAATGAGGGGAAGGAGGGTGAGGAGAAGGAGGAGGCTACCCGAGTTTGATCACCCCCCCAGCGGCAACGGCCGCTGCGGGGGGATGGCAGCGCTCCCCGACGGTACCCTTGCCACCAGCATCAAGCGTCCAAAAGATACAAGATCGTTTCCCCGGGAACCGCTTCCCCAAAACCGTTTCCCCGGAAGGCCGTTTCTCCGGAGACCCCTTCCCCGGAGAACCCTTCCCCGGAAGACCGTTTCCCCGGAACCGTTTCCCCGGAACCGATTACCCGAATCGTTTCCCCAGAACCGCTTCCCCGGATCCGCTTCCCCGAAGCCGTTTCCCCGAAACCGTTTCCCCAGACCACTTCACCGGACCCCCCCCCCTTTCCCTGCACGGAACCTCCCCGAAACCGTGTCCCCAGACACCGCGTCCCCAGTACCACTTCACGAGGGAGGATGAGGGAGGAATGAGGGAGGGATGAAAGATGCGGAAAGGAGGATTAAGGGAGGGAGGGAGGAAGGGAAGGATGAGGAATGAGGTAGGTGGGAGGAAGGGACGAAGGAGGAGAGAGGGCTGGATGCATCAGGGAGGGATGAGGGAGGTGAGGATTAGGGTGACGGAGGGACAGACGAGGGATGAGGGGAGGGAGGGCGGAAGGATGACGGATGAGGGATGAAGAGTACGAGGGATGAGGGAAGATGGAGGGAGGAGGAGGAGGAGGAGGAATCATCAGCTGAACCGGCCCAGAAGAACCACCCTGTACTTGCGACATGCCGTACAAATGCTACTCAGCACAAGGGACGTCTCAGGAAAACGGGCCAAACCAAATCGGATCACCTCAATTGCGGACATCTCTGAGCCCAGAGTGGGAGGGATGAGGGAGGAAGGGATGCGAAGAAGTAGCATAGATGAATGATGAGAAATGGAAGGAGGGATGATGGACCGGTCGGGCGGGCGGACCCTACTGGGGGGCCCAGGTCGGTCAGGTGGGACCCTAACTGGCGGGTCGGGTCGGGCGGGCGGGACATAAACAAATTGCGCATCATCGAGCTGGCACGCCAGTACCCTAACGGGCGGGTCGGGTCGGGCGGGCGAGCCATTAATGCATGGCGCATCATCGAGGTGGGACGCGAGTACCCTAACGGGCGGGACGGGTCGGGCGGGCGGGCGGACACCTACGAGCGGGACGGGTCGGGGTCGGGCGGGCGGACCCTAACGGGCAGGTCGGGTCGGATCGGGCGGGCAGGACATTCAAATATGATGCATCATCGAGTTGGCACGCAAAAC